CATATTTCACAGTTGGTCAGATACTGAATTGGTGACACTATGCTTGGGTGCCCACCTTGAAAGTGTGGAGACTGTATAGATCTTCTGTGCTGCCGGGTTGAAGATGTGTGTAAAGCATCCACATTTTAGAACTTGTAGCTTCTTTGCAGCAACATCCATAATTGAAGCATTGTCTACTGTCAGCTTAATTGTTCAAGCACGTGAACCCATGCAGGAAATCTGACTGTCTTTTGTTTCTCTCACTGAACAGACATTCATTAGTAGTCCACCACAAGCTCATTGGTTTTGTTGAGCTTCAGGTGATTGTTGACAAAGCTCTCTATAAGTCCTCTATACTAAATAGTCCTTAAGAGAAGACAGCGTGTTTTTCACAGAAACACTATTTACTGGAATTATACATATATCAATATATATATATATCAATACAGGGTCAGTAAACATTAGAAAGCAGCATTTGCAGCATGTGAGCAATGCATCTTTCACTCTGCAATTTCCATATGTTGTTGTCTCTCACAGTAGTAGTTTTGCATAGCCTGCTCAGCGCTGGAGAACCAAAAATCTGTCTCTTTTTTCCTCTTCCCCTCAAATCACCTCGCTCACGATTCTATCACCTTGCTGTCTCGCCATTGTTGCATTTTGCTCAATACAAAGAACGAAATTGCCATTGCACGTTGTTCCGATAGACTTTAAACAATAAATGATGTACAACTTCAACACATGTCATAGCATTGTGGCAGGAAAGGGGCGAAAATCTGCGCATCCACCTGGGTGTCATTTTTCCATCTCTGTCGATAGTCAGTGGGAATGAATGCCGATTGTACCCTTTGCCACCTGAAGACAAAAGCTGGATGTTGGTGTTTTTTTTTGTTAAATGTAAAAGTGGCTTTAGAGGACAATCAATCACAGTCAGTGAGTGGGTCAATGCCAGTATTCACAAGCAAGTACATCAGTGTAACCTTTGTTGTGAGAGATAATCAAGGGAGGAATGTACTGAATGTGATTACTTTCACTTAGGGCTACTTTCAGCACCGGTGGGTTTGATTTAATGTCAAACCACACTGAATTGCTTGAAACCATACTGGAAGAAGAGATGGAGAGGGGTTATGGAGAGGAGTGGAAACAGGAATGCAGAGAGAAAGGGAAGGGAAACATGGGTAGAGGACAGGGATGAGGTGCAAAACAAGGAAAAACAGGCAGAAAAAAAAGAAGAGAGAGTGAAGGCAAGGAGAGCGCATCAAGTGAAGAGTTGAGGAGGGGTGGTGAGCGATCACAGGACAGAGAGCTTCTTTGACAACTAATGTGACATGCGTGACGCTGGTTTAGCCTGAAGGAACATTCCCAGGTCAGAGCTCTCTCTGTGTGTGTGTGTGTTTGGAGTGAAGAAGTGGGGAGAAAAATAAAGAGATCACAGTGATGTTCTGTGTTAGCATTCATCATCACATGATGCCGCCTGCCGTCACACTTAAATCAAAACCACACATACACAAACACTCACACACACGCACACAGAGTCAGGCCGCAATAGCAGGCAAGCTTTAACAGTCACAGTCAAAAATGATTATGGCTGTGTGTCTGAACAGATAATGGCTAGGAAATTGATGCTTTTCTTCAAAGAAAGTACACAACTACGACTAGTTTATTTATTATATTTATAATTTTATTTATTGCAAAAAGAAACGCCTACCTCTTGTCATACCAGCTAAGGTAAGGAGTTAGATTAAGATAATGTGGAGCAAGTACAGTCACGAAACTAAAGCCTCATGAACAGACCCAATATTGAACAGTATAATACAGTAGCTGAATGGTCAAACAGCTGAAATCACACAACATCAGTAGTTTAGTAACTAATGGGAAAATTGCACACAGACTATACATTTAAAGGCTCTAATGTAACAACTGATAAAGTATGCAAAATGCTCAATACATACATACATATTAAAGGAAATATGTAATAAAATAAACAAATCTCAAACAAGAGCATTAGACTGACTGTTTAAACTCTTCCAAGCTGCTGCAGTGTGTGTGTGGTAGCAACACGTAGCACAGCGTCACACTCGAATGTAGTCCCTACAATGCAGGACTTATTGCAAGATTCATAGTGTCAAAGTAACATTCACCATCCAGGCTGCGAGCCTGATGAGCTGTCTTTGCTAATCAACCCTTGACCCCAATTTTTTACATAACACTGAACTTCGCCCCTGCTCAGTTCTCGATATTTGGTGTCATTCACACCAGTTTGCATGCTTCACACATTCACACTTGTTATCCAAGAACACAGCTTTTGAAGTGCACTGATGCTTATTTCTTCTTGGATGGGGGCGGGGGGGAGTGTACAGCGGTCCATGGTGGCATGTGTTGAGAGTTTTAAATTAGAAGGAGTTTCGTCTCAGTGAGGGCTGAATTCCAAAAGCAGATGAGGCAAGAATGAAGAATCCTCATTCAGTCATCAATACTTCAATATTTAGTTTTTTTGTCCTCGTATCTCCTCCTTTCTGACTTCTAGGCCCCTCCTCAGGCTGTAGTGGACTTGTTGGTCAGGCGGGAGTTGCTCTGGTCTGAGGCTCGTTCGGTGACTTTCAGCTTCATGCACAACTGCTTTTCATCCATCAGCATCTCTGCGGGTAGGCACCAGCAGCACAGGCAGGACTAGGGAATGAAGAGAGGTGGTTATGTTAGTGTGCATACAGCATTCACAACTTGGTAAAAGAAAGAAGTGAGATGTTCCTTCTTTTTCTGTTTCCTTTCTTTTTTTTTCACTGCCTTAAAGGTAGTTTGAAATAGTTCCAAATCAAAATATACGCTTATTCACTTGCTTGTCAAGAGTCAGATATAAAGATTGATACCACTCTCATGTCTGTGCTGTGAATATGAAGCTGGAGCCAGCAGCCTATTAGCTTAGCTTAGCACAAGAAGTTTTTGTTTTTAGTTTTTTATCTCGATTATACATATAAATGTGATTTAACGTGTTAATTAACTTTACTGGTGCGGGTAGGCAGATTTTGTCACCTTCAGACAAAGCCAGGCTAGCTGTTTTCCTTTCGTCTTTATGCTAAGCTAAGCTAAGCTAACCAGCTTCATATTAATCGTATGGAAATGAGAGTCCTCTCATTGAACTCTTGACAAGAAAGAATATTTTCCAAACTTACCCTGAAGCAGTTCTTGAAGCGCTTGCTGACCATGTAGAGGGCGATTGGGTTGATACAGGAGTTGACAGATGCCATGTTGATACCAATGTAGTCCAACACCAAAAAGAAACTAAAAGGGTTACAGAGACACATTAGTCTTGTACCTCTCCCTACCTGGAGGGTGATTCATTTTTCTACTAAATTATCTAGTCTACTCTCTATTTTATTTTGTGCACCGTGGGACGTGTTTTTTTTCCATACCTGAGCAGTTCGCAACGGTTTGGATCTTTCTCATCGTAGATGGTGAGCTTCAGGATACGACTGAGGTGGAGAGGCAGCCAGCACAGAGCGAAGACCAGAACCAGACAGAACACTGTCTTAGCAACCTCCCTTCGCTGAACACACACAAACACACATAAATCACTGTCTGCACCGACAGTTTTGGCCCAGAAAGGACTGTGGTGAAATTTATATAGCTGTATTTTTGTTTTTCTAGAAAGTCTGTTTTTAGTAAATCAAAACAAATTAAATTGAAGTGTCAAGTGAGGCTGGATTAAAGCTTGTTGGTAAGAAGTCATAACTGTATTTTTTATAGCTTTATTGGGACAAGCTGTGAGTGTGTGTCAGTTTTGTCTTTGATGAAAGCCATTAGCAGACCTGTTTGAGGTGGTCACTGAGAGCGATCTGGACACCGTTCTTCTTTCTCAGCATCTCACAGGTCATCAGGGTGTAGAAAATAGCAGTGCAGGCCAACGGCAGGCAGAAATATACACTGAACAGCCACCAGTCCTTTGCTGATTTATAAAACTACACAGGGAAAAATAGGAGAACAACATGGGATTATGCAACATCTGCACAAGAGAGCTTAAAGTTAAAGGTGAAACATGTCAGAAGTAAACTTAATGGAGCATATCCCCGGTCTGGCCTGGACCAGAGTGAGGGACTCAAGGGGGTGTCTCAAATTCAGACTTGTTGGCTCGTATTTAAAAATCAACTCATCAAACAACCTCTGTGGAATTAATACTGTTCATTGTTGTTATTTTAAGGTTGATGGAAGACACCTGAACACACGTATATACACAAGCATGTAGACGCCACAGGATCTTCTGTCCACCAAGAGAGCGATAACTGCTGTGATATACCGTGTTTCTGTTTGTCAATGCTTTGTTATCTGTAAACTCTTTCTCACCCTGATCTCACAGTAAGACTGTGAGTGCTTTTATGATAAGTATGCACATAGATTCATACACAAGTCAGCATGTGTGCCAGCATCTGCATCTCTGTGTATTTCTTTGTGTGTGAGTGTGTATTATATGTGCTGCGTCCACAGCTGTGTCAACACAACCTGCATTATGTGCCTCTAAAGGTCCGTGTGTCACAACTTACCCTCATAAAGCTGGTTTTCTGCATGGGGTGCAGCAAACAGATCCTCAAGTGTTCTCCTTTGTAGTCCATGGTGATCATGTCAAAGGCTATTGCCTCTGGCACAGCCAGGATGATGGATAATATCCAGATCAGCGCTATCTCGATAGCCATCCACTTTGGAACTCCAATCCCTTTGATACGGCTCCACGAGGCCACGGCACGATACCTAGAAGACCCAAAATGTGTAGTTAACCAGCAAATTAATATTTTGTTAAAGGAATAGTTTGAGGTTCTGGAAAATACATGAATATACTTTATTGCTGAGAGTTATGTCATGTTTGTTCAGTAAACAAGCAGCTAGTTGGCTAACCAGCCCCCCTTAACCTCACCAAAACTATGTGCTGTTTGCTTTTCGATTGGACTGAATAAACAAAAAATATATAATGTGTGAATTAATAATCTTGGTAGGTAGGCAAGTGTTGGTAGGCAGATTTTAGCCCTGCTTCCTGTCTTTGTGTTAAGATAAGCTGACCATCTCCTGGCTGATGCTTCTTATTTACAGTACAAATGTGAGAGTGGTATCAATCTTCTTCAATCCCAGTTTTAGCAAAAAAAATTAAATTATTTCATTTTTTAGCACCAGTTTAACAGATATGCTGTCTGACAAACTGTCTAAAACCTTAACAGGATCTATATTGGTCTCATCCCAACTGATTAAATGTATATTCTAGCTTTTTAAACTAAAAAAAGAGAACACCATGCAGTTATAAAGTAACTTCTGAAGACTATGAATAAGAAAATAACATTTTAATAATATGAGTTATGAGGAGTAAACTCTTATCCCAAGCTTACAATGTAGTTGACAGGCATATGTGTCAATGTATTCATTACCAATGCAGCAAGAAACAAGGAGGTCAAAAGTCATTGCTCTGACAACGTTTTTGTAATCCTTGACTGCTGATGAAGCATCAGGAAATGAAGATAGGCACTACTGTGAGAGGAAACGTGAGTTTGGGTTATCCATTGGTTGTGGCTGGGTTTACCTGTCAATACTCAAAGCGCACAGACTCAGCACTGTGATCCCCACTGAGGCCTTTTGGACAAACGGCACCAACTTGCACAGAGTCACCCCAAAAGGCCAGTCCTCCGCCAGGAGCTGGAGAGAGAGAAAGAGTTGGTGACTGAGGGAAACCAGGAGAGGGAGTGCAGCAAATTGTCTGGCCCCACGTTGATTTCCCCAGCCTCAGGCATTCAGTGTTGACCAGATATGCATGAACCCGAACTTATCGGTTTCTGTAAACATTCAGAGCTTTTTTTTTCTCTTTGTCAGTTTCAATGTTTTGGTCTTTTTTTGAAACCGATGAGGCCTCTTTCTGACCTCAAGGCACGTAACCCAGAGAGGAAGCCTACGGTAGCTCTTGGAGAACAACAAAATTTTGCTAAACTTGTACAATATGGGACTTTTCATGTGTGCTTTGGATGAGCTACTGGAATGTGAGTGTAGATCAATTGGAATCATATGTGGCCCTGTATCTCCCCATACCACCCTGTCTCTCCTGTCTCTGCTCTGGTATGCAACCGCGTCCAGTTGTTTTAACATGCTTGCCCCTTTACCTAAATATGCAGATGCTTTTGCTCTCTCTCTCTCTCTCTCTCTCTCTCTCACTTTCTCTCTCACACACACACACACACACACACACACAAAATGAGCCAAACAGATTATAACATGCCAGAGACAGAAGGGGATATAGAGGGGCTCAGAATCCAGTAAAGTAATAACATGTAAAAACTACTTGGAAGCCCCCTTTTAAGAGTGTGTATGTGTGCACTCATGTGGTGTGTGTGTGTTAGGAAAGGGTGCGTGTTTGAAGGATTTATAGTCCAATATGCAGCAAAATATTTGCATATGATCTTAAAAAGTTATTGAAAGAAGGTTTAAGGGGATATAACAACAGTGCAACAAATATTCATTGAAAAGCTAAGGGAGTTTTGAATTGACACAGAAATAAAAAATACTATTGAGTGTCATTATAAAACTGTTATAGGCCTATATGGTATAGACTTGTTAGTCAGCCATATTGTGCAACTTGCCTCACCTTGTAAACATTAATGGGAATGCCAATGATGATGTGTAGCAGGTCTCCGAGCGCCAGGCTGGCGATCAGGATGTTGGGCCCATTCCGCATGCACTTATTCTTATAGATGATTCTCAGCAGAGTGGAATTACCAATAATACCCACAACAAACACCAGGCAGGACACCACTGTATTGATGTACTTAAAGGTGTCTCTGATTTCCGTGGGTCCGGTGCACATGGGAGGTAGCCGGCGGCGGGGCATGGTGATGTTGGGCCTCACTGGACCTTGCAGATCTCTCTCTACAAGCCCAAGTCTCTGGGTAACAGTAAGAGGGTCCTGGGGCCCTTGTTCCTTTGGTTCCAGCTGCCCACTGATCACAAGGATGTGACCCGCCAACAGGAGTAACTCCAAGCAGAGGAGATGAGTCTTCATCCTGAAGTTTTTTTAATTATGGCCTTTATCCAACTGATCCTCTTTGAGGGGCTAGAACACAAAGAAAGTACTGTATTCAGGTCCTGTTATCTGTCTACAAGAATATTATTATACCAACAACCTCACTGTCTTGTAGGAATATTAGGCTCCAAGATTTATTATGTGACTTTAGCTGTCATCTCCAAATTAACTCACTAAAAATGGCAGACACACCCTGCAGAAACATTCTAGTCATTTTTTAGTTTAGGTACTGAACAAAAGAGAAGAGTGGGGGGGTCAGAAACAGGGGAAGGTATTGTAATGTAATTGTTTTTTTAGAAGAGCAGAAGAGGATTATTTATTAGTTCAGTTGTCCCTTACAAGAGTTAAAAGCTACATAAATAGTTACATAAAAAATAAAAGTACTTCACCATGGTTCATTACGCACAGCCATATGCACTGAAACCCTACAGTTCTGTCTCTGAATCAGATTTTATTATTGTATCCATTATGACGCACATTAGAAGTTATATTAAAATCCTAATTGAGGTATGAGATTAAACAAGTTTATTTACACTGGTATATTATTTTGACAGTGTGCAAGAAAAACATAAAATTTCTGCCCCACTCACCTCCCCAACAATTTTCATACAGTCCCTAAATCAATTAATTAATATTCCCCAGTCACTGCTGTTGAAGCTCTTACTTACCCAACTCCTAAATGAGGTAGAAAGTATCCAATATTTGTTCCTCTTAGATCAAACTTCCCCAGTAACTCTAAAGCTGTCAGGACAAAGAAAAGTTCCCAAAGCGGATGGTTGCTGTTCCTGCGGTGACAGTCCAGTCATCTCCAACAGCAGCAATCTGTCTCTGGTGTCAAAGTGAAAAAGCTCCAGATCTGTGATCCAGAGGCTCCAGTCAGCTCCTCTGGTAGTCCACTCCTCTCCAGTACTAGCTGAGTCTCAGTATACAGTCTCAAGAGTCTGCTGAGTTAATCCCTGCCCTCCAACCCCTCCTCTTCTTATGCAGAGGAGGGGGTGGAGGAAGGCAGGCAGGATGTTCACAAGTTATTTAGTGTTCATCAAAGTGCCCTCAGTTCATAGTGTATATTTTATCTCCTAGTGGCATCAATCCCAAATATTCTTACAGGGATTGATCATTGCTATTTTATTTGACCTACTAAAGTGTTTCAGTTTGACCCTATTGTTCTCTTTCGTAAGACAATAGTATTTAATATTGAGCCTTTTCATTCAGTCTGCAACCAGAGCAAGGCTATCACATGGACCTTATCATGTTGCCAGTATGCAGTCAAATTGTAGATAATAGCACCATGTTCACCAAGCTCCTACTCACTGAAATGAGAAACCTCATTTAGAAAGATTAGTCCCTGTTACATTCATCATCAAGTATTTGCTGGTATTTTTACACAACATAACTTAACAAGGTATCAAAGTGAAGTAATTAGTTTTGAATAAGGACAAAAAAACAATTACAGTATTTAACATTTTAAAAAAGGCTGAGCAAGATGTAGGCTGTAGCTGCAAAGATCAGTGCATCTTGAATCCTTTAATAAGAATTACAGCCAGCGGCCCTGACTTAAGTTAAATGCTAATATCAGCATGCTAATATAGTCACAACGACAGTGCTAACATACTGATGTTTAGCAGCTTTAATGTTTACCATCCTCACTATCTTAGTTTAGAATGTTAGCTGGTAACATAAAATACAGCTGAGCTTGCTGAGGTTGGATGTCATTAATTTTGCAGGTATTCTGGTTAAAATCTAAAGTATTGGTTTGACCTGATGATGGCACTAGCCTATATGAAGAGTTAAGGGAACAGTGTGTAGGATTTAGTGGCATCTAGCAGTGAAATTTCAGATTGCAACCATCTAAATACCACTCGCCTTCCAAGGGTGTAGGAGAAACTACCGCAAAACACGGAATGCCCTATCTAGAGCCAGTGTTTGGTTTGTCCCTTTTGGGCTGCTGTAGAAACATGGCAGGCTCTGTAGAAGTCGACGTGCTCCATCTGTAGATAAAAATGGCTCATTTTAAGGTAACGAAAACACGATTATTACTTATTTTCAGGTGATTATACACAAACAAAAAACATACCTGAATATTTTATTTCTGTCAATAGAGCCTCCTAAATGTTACACACTGGACCTTTAAGGCATAACCAAAGTGATGACTATTCATTGTTAGGGGGACATGAATGTTTGACCCAATTTTTTGATAATCAAACCAATTTTTTCTAAGGCGTAGTGGCTAAAAATACACAAAGATATCTACCCTGCCACTATTTCTATGTCAGTGTGACACTAGCTTCTTTTTCAAATCAGTAGTATTGTTAGTACTTCTTAAAATGTTTCCCATGAAAAGTTTAATTCCTGTCACAGAGGGGGTGTTTTCCTTGTTTTCCATCCCCCTTTTCACCTGCTGTCACTTCACGTGCATTTGTTTCCTCTCTTTACTTAGAAGGATACACAAGTTGGAAGTGGTTTTTTTTCTCAGTCCCACCCTTTTACTTTCTCCACTGTGTACTTTAAAGCAATTTTTCCGGTCACATATAGATACAATGTAAAAAGGCAATAAGCCCTAACAGTCTCTTATGGAGTACTGTGTAGACCACACCTGTATTGGCCTGGAGTTGATCCTCCCTGTGAGGTTTTTAGATTTTCTGAGAAGAGTTACATTCAGGCCAGACAGCCATCAGCAGCAGATGTGTTTCTCTTTTGATAGATTACCATCTCTGTGGAGCCTTAGGAAATTCTATTAGGTAGCCTCTGTGTGTTTTTCTACTATTTGTCCATTGCCTGTGCACTTCAGCCAGAGAGTTCAAGAGAAAGAGATGCTTATCTTTGTTAAGGTAGTGTTCTACTCACTAAAACTGCCTGTCTGCTTTACTTCCAGATGTTAAAAGATTATGTGAGTTGTCACACTACTGCATGCATGAATGTGTGTTGTCCTTGTCCTTCTACCTATTTTCATGTTACAAGTTTGTTTCTGTTTCTCAGTTTTGTGTCTTGTCCTTATTTCTACTTGCTAATGTGATAGGGACTGTAAGAAAATGATTAGGGGGCTAAAGGGGGAAAACATGAGTGTAACAAGTGTATTATGATATTCCATAATAGTCCAATTACAGGGAAAGATTACTAATCTCCCGTTACAAAAAAATCTATTTAATTTCTGAATTTTTACTCTCATGCAGCTGAATTGTAAACCATAAAGATGGGTGGATGTGGATATTAAATTATTTTAAATGTATTGTTTAGATGTTACCCTGTAAAACACAAACATCACAACCTACAGAAAACAACTGTACCACCCCCGTGACTGCTGGGCAAACTCCATACACTGATGAAGGCCAAGACAAGTGGCTGACAGCTCCAGAAAAATTCTACTAAGTGAAGCTTTTGCTAAGATTTGTTTTTGTCAAACTACAATATCCAAGGTTAATATTCAACCTTTGTTTGGATAAGGGTTTAGGTTGGATGCCAAAATAGTAATATGTTTCGGAGAGCTCAGTGATAACCTGTAACTGGAAACATCTGAGGCTCATTTGAGAATTTTTTGTTCCATGTAAGCACTATATGTGAGTTATGTTATTTTTCTAAACTTGGCCTTTTGGATGTGTATTTAGAAGTACTGTGAGCTGAGTGCAAATCATTTCCACGCTGGGTTTTAAGCTTGATAGAATATCTAGATCCCACAGCTTATCACAAACTATCCCTCGTGGGCCATTCATCCTTCAGCAACACTATCGCCATTTCAACATGTGTGCTGCCTTTCCCATTAGCTGCTGCTTGCAGCTGTGTTCATGTTTGAAACTGTGAAATGTTCTACATGTCATGTGATGGCGAAGCTATTACAATATCATGCCTAAGATGTGAGGAGCCATAGGCGAGCCTTGTGAGTAGGCAGACAGTACTCTGGCTCAGGTTCAAGCCCCCGAGGCAACAAGCATCAAACACTGAAACCCTAAATGACTCAGAAACTGTAATGACGAAAGAAATGTTCTCTCCTGGGAATCACTAATATGAATAACAAAAAACACAACAAATGCTAAATCAAAGAAAAAAAAGTAGTATTTACAAGACTTGTAGTGATAAGAGAGTACAATGGCAAAAAAAAAAAAAACATCTAATCACTATTTTTAATGCTCATAGTGAAACCTACACAGAGAAAAAGAGCTTTTGTAAATATTTAATATATAAATTTGGGCATTTTACGTCCTCGGGACCAGTGTTTGGCGGTAATCCATTACTTTGTAACACGATACAGTGACAGGGTTACTTTTTTCACTAACAATTACAATTTGAAATACAATAATTACATTACAGCTACTAATCCCAGTAAAGCTCTGTTACTTTGGAAATTTGATGGAGGGTTGATATTAGTTTGGTCTCTGGCAGACTAACTGGTAGTGTTAGCCTCCACCAAAAGAACATAAATAAGTTTTCCGGTAACACCAAAGTTGGCCTTGCCGTGACAATAACGGCATTTTAATTGTTTAAAAGAGATCAGATTTTTGTGTCCATATGTTTCCTCAACCAAAGAGCACTTCAAACTGAGTAACACTTGAATGTGAGAAAGTGAGAAACACTTAAATGTTTCTGGACCCTCCCCCTCTTTTTTTTTTGTCCTATTTATGTTCCAGGGACAGATTTAGAGAAATATTTATGGGGTGGCAAGAAGGTTGCATGGAGACTTACATACATATATCAACATTTACTTGGAAAAGCCCCCAAATCAAGGTATTTTGACTTTTGAATAGAAATATTTAAACGTGGCATTATAAATCAATTAACTCCATATTATTATGTATTTTCTAAATCTTCAGTCGTCTTTGAACTTAAGCACACTAACTTAACACTCAGTCTAAAATGTGGCCATAACAGATTATTGAATTTTCGGTTTTAAAACATTATTTTTTAAAATTCATCTAAATGAATGTGTGGTTGACCAGTGGTTTGACAGCCATTTGACACCAAATTTTTTAGGGCCACCCCACCCCCAG